CTATCCAGAAAAATATAAGAGGTGCTATATCACCATTATTTCTTATACCTTATATATATATATAAATATAAATATATTATATTTCTTATAATAGTACTCCATGGTATACATATACATTTTATTAATCCATTCATGTATTGATGGGCACCTGGGTTTTTTCCACATCCTTGCAATTGTGAATTGTGCTGCTATAAACATTCAAGTACAGATGTCTTTTTTATATAGAGTCTTTTGTTATTTTGGGTAGATGCCCAGTAGTGGGATTGCTGGATCAAATGGTAGATCTACTTGTATCACTTTAAGGTATCTCCATATTGCTTTCCACAGAGGTTGCACTAGTTTGCAGTCCCACAGAGTCATATATTTCTTATAGCCTTTGTGTCACCTCTGAACAATTCCCAGCCAGCTCATATATTCCAAAGGCAAGAATGCAATCTCCCTTTTGGCAATCTTGAGTTGTCTGGCTGTGGCACGATTTAGGTCAGTGATTTTCTAAGTGTGGCTTGCAGACCACCTGCACCAAAATCACCTAAGGTGCTTATTCAAAATGCAGTCCCAGCCCTCACCCCAGATATACTGATTCTGAACATTTGCGGGTAATGCATAGAATATATATTTTAGAGGAGCATTTTAAGTGCTTCTGAGGCATGGTAAGTGGATCTAGAATAAGTATGGGGTGTGGGGAGGGCTTTTGCTATCCCTCATTTCTGTCCAGGCACAAACCTGTGCTCGAATATTGGTTCTGCCACTTTCTAGCTTGGAGCCTTGGGCAGGTTACTTCACTGAGCCGCAGTTACCTCATCTGTAAAATGGGGATAATAATGTGTGCCACAGTGGATTTTTATGAGTATTAAATGGTACAAGGAATGCAAAGCCGCTGATACCAAATCTGGCCTATGTTGAGTTAACTTCCTACCATGTCATTGTGGTTTCTGAGGTCTGTGGTTACTTGATTTCAGGTGTGTGGTAATGATCTTGGTCGTGGTCTCTCCACCTGCCAGTTGTTCTGTGGTCCCTGTGGAGGGAGGAAGAGGTTGGTGGTGGTGTCTGTGTGTGCTTGGCTCCTTGCCAAGCAAAGGGTTAGTTGATTAGTTTTGCTCATGTCATCTTCCTGCAACCACCACCTTTGCCGATTTTGATTTGAAGATCTGAAAATCTTCCAGCGTAGGTTGAATCTGGGTGTGGGTGTGATTACAAAGTCTCCAAAGAAGGCAACCAAGAGAGGAAACGGTCTCTATAATGAGAAAATGGATTTGATCATGAGCTTTTAAAAGGAGAGATGTTACTCTAACTTTGAGAAGTTCCCAGGCCAACTGAAAATCATGGCTTATACCCTCAAAGAATCCTGATTGATTGGCATAGGCTGGAAGCTCAGAACAATAATAGAAATCCCCCAGAGCAAACAGAGAGAGCAAGTATATGTTAATGGAACAGTCCTCAGGACATTGAAGGGATCAGGACAGGCTGCATTCGAGAAAAAGGCAAATATCAGAAACAGCTGTAGGAGCTGCATCAGTTTGCTATTAGTGTGTAAAAAAGCACCCCAGTACTCAGTGGTCTAAAACATGAATCATTTATTATCACGCACATGTCAGTGGGACAGCTGGGGCTTGGCTGATCTTGGCTGATCTTGCTCTTGCATCTGCAGGGGAGCTGGGGGCTCTGCCTGGGTCACCTTGGCTCGAGCAGCCCTGCCCTGTGCGTCTCTCATCCTCCTCTTGGGACCAGTGGGCTTGGTAGATATGTCCTCCTGACAGTGAAAGAAACTCAAGTGAACAAGCACAACATCACAGACACTTTTCAAATGTCTCTGCCTGTGTCAGGCACCCTAATAGTCCATTGGCCACAGCAAGTGGCATGGCTGAGCCCAGAGTCATGGTTGGAGGACACAGTTATCTGGCCACGGGCATGGATTCAGCAATGGGGGAGGAACTAGGGCCACGGGTGTGCTCTACCACACTCCTGCCCGAGTGTTCCTCAATTCTCCCTTCCCTCCCAATCTGGAGTCATTACTCCCTCTGTGGCACTTTGTGCCTCTCTTCTGGCTTTGAGCACAACCTGTGTTGCTGCCCTGCATGTGTGGACAAGGACTTTGTCTGTGGTCCCAGAGCCTAGTACAGGGGCTGGTACCCGGCAAGTAATAGTACATGAGAGAGAGAAGAGAGCAAAAAGGGAAGGAAGTAGGAAGACAGGCAACAAAAAAGAGAAGACGGGACAGGCAAGTAGGATAAAGGGAGTGGAGGAGACAGCTTAGGAGAGATGTGGGTAGGGTAAGTTGGAGAAAGCACCAATGGTTCAGACTGAGCTAAACCACCTGCTTGTCAGCTTCCTGGGCTATCGATCTATTTCTAGGATTTTAAAGCAGTCACTTCTGTATGGAGAAAGAGTATTTATGTTTTTATTTGGCATCTCTAATGGCTGCATTTTCCCTGTGGAAGCCTTTGCGTGAAAGAAGACTTAGGTTATAGAAATTCTCTGTGTACCCTTAGAAGGAGTAATCAATTTGCCATTGATGATCTGAGCTGCTTTCACTACTGAAATCTCTCTAGTTGCTATACCTCCGAAATGAAGACTGCCTTACTTTACAATGCACAAAGATTACATTGGAAACGAGGCTGTAGAGGCAGACTCTGAAGATCTTCTCTTGAAATGCAATTATTTATTTGTTCTGGATGAGGTGCTTCATGGTGTTGCACATTATTTTGAATACCCTGAAAATATTGATGTAGAAAATATTGATGCCGACAGGGCGAGATGGATTGACTCTGAAATGGCCGTAAGTGATTTGAGGACAAACTCAGGACTGTGGCAGATGAGAGGAGGCAGATCTGATTCCTCATGTGGCTCAAAGGCCTTCGAAGAGGGGCTGCAAAATCCCTTCCAGTTGTGTCGCAGGAGTAAGTCTAAGCTCTTCCAGGCACAGGCTGACGGTTTCAGGACCAGTATGTTTTTGAAGCTTTAGAGAAGGCAGAGGGAGGAAGTGGTTCATGGGGCAGGGGACAAGCTGTCAATAGAGAAGCAAGGATCTGGCATCACAGCCTGAACAGATGACCTGGGCATGGGCTGGGAGGAGGTAGAGCAGGGTGGCCCACATATCAGGGCAGGGCCGAGCTGTGGGGTACTGGTGGACTGAGAAAGGAAGCCTGAAGGTTGCCATGGACACTGTATGATCTTGGGCAGGTCCCTTAACCACTCTGGGCTTCAGTTTCCCAACTTATCAAATGAGAAGGTTGGGTTAGATCAGGGACCCCTCAAGTTGGGGGTGGGGAGAAGCATTGGGAGGTTGGATAGTTGGGTTCTAGGCCTTGAACCTCACCTGGCCTGGATTGCTTTTTCTCCTTCCTGTTTTATATATTGTGTTTCTATATAAAAATGGTTTGTTTTTTATGTTTTTCTAAAGCTACCAGTCTAAAGACCTTTAAGATCCCCCCCCCCTTTTTCTTTTTTTTTTTTTTTGAGACAGAGTCTTGCTTTATTGCCCAGGCTAGAGTGAGTGCCATGGCATCAGCCTAGCTCACAGCAACCTCAAACTCCTGGGCTCAAGCAATCCTTCTGCCTCAGCCTCCTGAGTAGCTGGGACTACAGGCACGTGCCACCATGCCCAGCTAATTTTTTCTATATATATATTAGTTGGCCAATTAATTTCTTTCTATTTATAGTAGAGACAGGCTGGTTTCGAACTCCTGACCTAGAGCAATCTGCCCGCCTTGGCCTCCCAGAGTGCTAGGATTACAGGCGTGAGCCACTGGGCCCGGCCTTAAGATCCCTTTTGATCTGAACAGCACAGTACCGCAGTTGTGAGACCAGGCAGTGGCAGACTGACTGCGGGATCTGGAAAGGCCCACGGCTGGCCCGGCTCCAGGATGGCTGCATCTCTCCTCCCCTCTTGGGGTGGGAGGGTGGGAGTGGGGTAGGGCTGGGGGTTTGGGGAGTGGATTTGGATTTCTTGGAGAAACATGGACGTAAAAGCTTCTGCCTCACAACCGTGTTTGGGAAAAACTCAGGCACACTGTGAGGGCCTTTCAGATGCCCAAACATGTCATTACCGGAGACAGTGTACCTACCCCGATCTGAGACTTCTTCCTGCAAGTTCTTCCACTGAGATGCCAAAAGCTGGGGCCTGGATTCTCTGAGTCCCAGTAAAACACACCTGAGTGACCCCATTAGGGTAAGGTCTAGCTCTGGCTCTGATGCTGACCAGGTCGCTAGCTTCGAGCCTTGGTTTTCTCATTCATAAAGTGGCAATAAGAATACCTGTGCTTTTTGTGGGTAAAAATGAGTGAAGTGATGGCATGTGAGAAAGACTTATACAATTCCTCCTCCATCCGCCCCCTCCTTTCTTCCTGGCTTTGCTTGATTTATTTGTTTGTTACTGTGCATGGCCAAGACACACTCCTTCTACAGCATGCCAGGTGAGGTGGAACAGATGACAACATAGCAAACAAGTACAAAAACAAAGAATAAGAAAAATGCACTGCGTCTAATTGCCCATGAACATGAAAATACAGCCATTTATTCCTGTCAGAGGTGCAGAGTGCCTCTTGTGTGCCACTCTGTGCTCACGAGGAGGGGCCCGCCCTTCACACATGAGTATGTGAACTTTGTTGCCCGGGAAGCTTTTACGTCCATGTTTCTCCATGCCCCTCCCGTCCCAGTTGAGAAGTCAACTTATTTGAGAAGACATGGCATTATGACCGAGAATAAAGTGCTCCTGCACACAAAGCAAGTCCTGGGGATAGCAAACCCTCCCGGGTGGCCTTCAGTCCTTAGAAAATGATCGAATGCTTTCTAAATGCCTAGGGGTGACCATGAGAAGGGGGGGAATGTGGCAGAGAGGGTCCAGGTTTTGCTCCGTAAGAATTGCATGAACTTGGGAAAGTCACTTCTTGTCTTTGAGTCCCAGTTTCCTTGTATGTAAAACTGGTTCATGATTTCTGCTTCCCTGGTTGCTGTGGGAATACAGTGAGATCAGGCGATGATCTGTTTCATGGTAAGTGTTCAGAAAATGATGGTTATTACTGTGATTTGGGGGAATAACAGAAGAGAGATGGTCACATTCATGGTTGTCAGTGCGGGTGCTGCAGTCTGTCCTTGGTGGGGTCTGGCTTTCAGGAGTCACGAGCTGAGACCCTCTGCCCAGTGAAAAGGGCTCGGAGTGCCCCCTGCACATCGCGATTCCGGAGGCTGTAGATGATGGGGTTCAGCATGGGCGTGACTACAGTGTACATGACAGTGGCCACAGAGCCCTGCTCTGCCTTGTATCGGGATGTGGGCTGGAAGTAGACTGCGATGACTGTCCCATAGAAGAGGCCCACCACAGCCAGGTGGGAGGCACAGGTGGACACAGCCCGGAGCCTCCCAGAGGCTGAGGGCAGGCGGAGCACAGCAGCTGCGATGGCCCCATAGGAGGTAAGGATGAGCAGGAAGGGAGTGACCACCACCGCGGCACCCTCGGTGAAGATGAGCAGCTGGATGTGGCGGGTGTCAGAACATGAAAGCCTTAAGAGAGGCTGGTGGTCACAGAAAAAGTGGGGCACTTGGTGGGAGGCACAGAATGATAGGCGGGCCATGAGCAGAATATGCAGGAGGGAGTGGACATGGGACACGAGCCATGCTGTCCCCACCAGGGCCATGCACACGGCCCTGGACATCCTTATGGCATAGTGGAGGGGGTACCGGATGGCCACATAGCGGTCATAGGCCATGGCGGCCAGGAGACAGCTATCAGTTACCCCTAGGGCAAAGAAGAAGTACATTTGGGTCAGGCAGCCAGCCAGGGAGATGGAGCGGTCGTGGGACAGCAAGTTGGCCAACATCTTGGGCACAGTGACAGAGGTAAAGCAGAGATCAGCAAAGGACAAATGAGCCAGCAGGAAGTACATGGGTGCATGAAGGGCTGGACTGGCCTGGATGGCAGCCACAATGAGTCCATTGCCCAGGATGCCTGCCACATACAAGACCAAGAACAGCACAAACAGAGGCCACTGCTGCCCAGGTCTTGTTGTCAGTCCCAGTAGGACGAATGGGGCTCCCTCTGAAGACTCGTTGGCAGCATCCATGGCCAGGCTGGCTGTTCACCTGGAACCTCAGCAGCTCCTTTTATTGAGGGTCATCTTCTTAACTTCTAAGGGCAAACATGAGGGCTACATTGCTCCAGGCTTCCTGGCTATGAGAAAAATCATGGGTTTGGAGTTGGATACCTCTGGCTCCATACAGGTGACTGTGCCTAGTCATTTCACCTCCCTGAACCTTCCTCCTCTCTGGGTCTTAGATTCCCAATCTGTAAAATAAGGGATTTGAACAAGGTGATCTTCAAGGCCACTTCCAACTTCGATACTTTGTGATGTTAAGCAAAAATAGAACAAAAGATATCACCAGTATGTAGACTAGGAAAGGAGGAAAATATGAAAGATCAAACAGAGAGAGGATAAACATAGAAAGATCTGATCATTGGACATTTACTTCAGAAAAGAAAGAGTAGAAAAAAGCCCCAAACAAAACCAAGATAGAGGACAGAAACATACCAAAGAAATACTAGAAAAAAATCCAAATCTAAAGAGCATGTATGTTTATATTAAAATGAACATGAACATACAACACCTAGACACAAACAGTGAAATTTTAGAACACTGGTGACAAAGAGAAGAATCCAATACCTCCCAAGGGCATGGGGTGCCATGAGCTAGTGATGTTCAGGTTATCAGACTGCTGCCAAATGTTCATCATCAACAGGATGATGAACAGTTGACCAATATCTTCAAAACAGTTGACCAATATCTTCAAATTCTGAAGAAAAATGATTTTGAACTAAGAATTCCATACTAAGCCAAAAAATTAATCAAGGAAAGAATAAAGATATTTTCAGACTTTTAAAAATAAAAGAACAGAAGAATCTGATGCCTCCCCATATCTCTGGAAAACTTTCCTCCACGAAATTGAACACTCACTGAGCACTAAGCAGATGCACATCCCTTTGTGAGAAACTTGTGCTAACAGTCTGACCCGTTTGCTAAGGCCCAGAGACTTAACTCTTAAGGACAGAGCAACTTGGTTTTGATGCTTCTGCTTTTTTCAGAAAAAAACAGAATCTCAATGCAGACATCTTGGAAAATTCTCTAAGAAGAGGTCTTTAAAGGAGAGGGATTTTAGGGTGCGGGTTTGCTGAAGACTATGCTGACACTACCTCTGGAGGGAATGGACTCCTAATTTCTTTCCACATCTTTCTCTGGTAAAAAAGAAAATTAAAAATCAAGTGATGGGCCTCACTACCCCACCGTCTTCCTTTATTCCTCCATTGGTTAAGAGGAATCTTCTGGATTTGGCTCCTTGTAGAGCATCTTTTCTCAAACTCCCAATCATGTCCCACTTTCCAAGAGGGGAAGAGGATTAGGTAATTGGGTAGGGTGGAGGGGGAGCCTGTTTATATAACCACTTTTGGGAACTGGACCTGCTCTGATCTGTGTCTAAATCGTTACCAATAAACATTCAAGTATACTGAGCGTTTTGCAGAAACTTTAATAGGTACTAACACACACACATACATGTGGGTGTGCAGACATGTGCAGACTGAAGCTGGTCTCTACAAATACATAGGAACTCTCAATCATTTGCAGAAATGCATACGTGCACTCACACCCAAGTGAGCAGACAAGCATACTCACAGGATCCAAAGACCCAGATTACACACATAAACGCAAGGAGAAATGCAAGCACAACATAGCACTGAAGCTGGAGGGTAACAATCATTCACATCCTCCTGTGCAAGGAGGCACATGGTACCATGCACCACTAATGTGACCCATTATACACATTTGTTGACCCCCTGCTCTGTGTGAGGACTCTACCTGGTGCCCATTCATGCACACCCAGTCACACCCAGTCCCCTCATTGATCATGCAATCACATCTTTGTGTACAGCCTCACCACTTCACGTACATGGTTTCACTCACATAGGCTCATGATGGATCACAGCAGAGATGTGCCACCCAAAAGGGGCCCATCCACATACACACTATTGCTACCCACCACAATGACACACAATTACAGCCTTGCAAACAACACACGCTCTCCTACTCACACGTATGACTCATGCCCACAGTCACACCCAGGAAGACTGATCTGTGCACTCTGCAGCCTGGCCCTTTGTGCTCAGGTGTATTCCCTGGCATCTGCACATCACAGGAGGGGGCCACAGCAGGGGCCAGGAGTGGGTTGTCACTGGAGGGTCTGAGGAGGAGTGACTGGCCATACTTACGGGGTTTAGGGGCTTGGGAGTGCCGTAGCTTCTCCCCAGAGGGAACACCCCCCTTCCCTGGCCTCCATCCCTGGGGCACGAGGCAGCTCAGCTCTGGGGCTTGTTACTCTTCCTCCCGAGGGCCCAATTTGATGGAGGAGGGGTGGTTGGTTCTGCCTCCAACTCAGGGAACATTCAGGAGCCCTGTGCATGGCAAAGCTGCTGCTCCTCCGTCCCTGCCTTGTGAAGACCAGATAGAAGGGTTGGGCTGACCTCTGGGCCCCCAGGAGAGTGACTGAGGAACCCAGGGTTTACAGCTTTAGCTTCTGGGGACAACCCTCCTGCTCAGCTGTAGGAAGTGCAGGAGCGTGGGAGGGATTGTGCCTCAGTGACGGTGGCAATATGTAAAGCTGTGTTTGTGAGAGTGATTGTGTCCCTGTGCCACGGTACGTGCCCATGAGCTCGGATGTGTGTCTGAGTGTGCACCTGCATCTGTGTCTGTGTGGGTGACCAGGTCTAAGAGAGCGTTTCTTTGGCAATGGATATTTCTGGTAGGAGATTGGGTCTGTATTGAGAGGGTGTGTGTTTCTGTGTATGCGTTGCGGTATAAGGGAACTGAGCCTGTATGTAGCATTCCAGGTGGGAATGGCTTTGCCCGGCACAGTGCTGGGACAACCATAAAGGAAGATTTTGAATATATGAATTTTCAGTGATTCCTTATTGTCTGTTGAACAAAGTCCAAGTTCCCTACCTAATATCCGAGCCAATATCCTACCTAATATCCGAGAAGGGTGTCCTTCTCATTCCCAGATTTTTCAATCTTCAAACTTTCCCCTACTTCCTTCCCAATACACCTCTCTCTAGCCACTTACATTGGTCTCCTTAGAGTCTTCTGCACATGCTTATTTCATTTCCACACCTTTGTGTACACTTGCTGCTCACAATGGAATACCCCTTCCCTGCAATTTCCACCAATGTTGCAGGGCCCAGCTTATTTTGTGCAATGAGTGCCTCAGTCTTCCTCACCCCAAACCTGCTCCTGTCCTCTCTGCCTATCTTAGTAAACGGTGTTGAAGGGAAATGCTTTCTCAGAATTCGGCAAGTTCTACTGAGCATCTCACTGTAGTAGGGGTCTGACTGTTTCTCTTCCTTCATTCTCTGTGTTGGACTCTGTCTCTGTCTTCCAATCCCTCCCTCTTCACTCTTGTTTGTTTTCTTATCTATCAAGTAGGCCCCCATTTAATAGCCTGCGACTTTCTCTTTCATCTAGTTGATTCCTAAGATTTATGTAATTATTGTGTCTGGCTGCTCCATGGATGCTAAATACATGGGAAGACCCATGGATGTCCTGTAGGGCTAAGGTGACGGAAGGGGCCATATCACTCTGGGAACTTTGTCCTGATAATGGTGGGTGCTGTATGTCATGAGAGCCCAAGAACCAACAAAAAGGAAAAAGGAGCTCTTTGAGTTTAAACATCACTGAATTGGGGATAAACCTTACACTTGCAGTCCTACAGCTGCCAACTCTTCCAGCAAAGCCTCCAACTTTTGTCGTGGCATCTGAGTTGTTATGGTGACAAAAGAAAGAGGAGTTGGGGAAGAGGGAAAGGATGATCAAACCTTGTCGTAGGAGAAGGGGTTTTAATCTGTTTAAGCCTTTGTCAAATGTGCTGAGTTTGGGATATTGTATTATACTTCTGCTCTTAAGATGCTGGTTCATCAGAAAATAGGGTGACAAACCATCTTGATTTGCCTAGGACTGAGGGTGATCTTGGGATATGACACTTGGAGTTTTAAAACTGGGACAGTTCTGGGGAAACCAGAACAAGATGGTTACTCCATCAGGAAACCTACAAAGTTCTCTAAGATTGAAGGAGATGGTCTTATCCATATTCTTCTCTCCATTGGCCTGGGACCTCCAAGAAGGCCATAGTTGCTAAGACAGAGGGTCCTGGTCCTAGTGACAAGGGGAATCACCTTTCCAGGGAGCCAGGCTGAAGCCTTCAGTCTTCCTGCAGTCTAAGTGCCAGGTGGCTGATTTCTGTCTGAAGGGGGAGTGTGGAAGGGTGAGGCCAGCCCCTGTCTGGAGCCCTGGGAAGAGTCTCTGTGCTGAGCCTCTGAGAAGCATTGTTTGAGTCCCACACCTTTCCCACCCACCCATGGCCTCACCTCAGCCGCAATCGGGGGAACTGTATGGGAATTGGGCAGGGCTGACCTTTGCTCTGGCCATGCTCCACCTCTTCTTAGAAGCTCTTGCCTGTAACTCCCAGGGTCCACTCCTGCCTGCTCCTGCATGCATGGGGCTTCCCAGGCAGAACACAGTGCCTTGGGCCTTGCCCATGTGTAAATGATTCATGGAGACCAGAGAAATCTGTCAAAATTGTGAACTCTGGGTAGATGAAGGTCCCAAGAGCATTGGGTCTGGGGGAGGGGTGTCCAAGACTTGGGGCACATGTAGTTAGTCATGATCCAAGGCTTGGGGCACTGTAGTTAGCATTGCCCAAGAGGTCAGGGTTGTGGTATTCCATCTCCTAACCCCAACCCTGCCTCTGGAGGCTGTGATCTTACCAGAAGGCCATCAGGATATTAATCCTCCTCACGCACATGCTATCTAAGCATGCTTATAACTCTGAATGAAAGTTAACTTAAATCCACCAGGCACTAACAGGTACCTTTAAGCTTTAAGAAACATTAACCATTATCTATAACCTCAACTAAGTCTTAAAGTGACCCAAAACATGTCAATTTGATACCTAAAATATTCTTGTATGTAACTCTTATTTATCCTAGCTTAACGATAATAATTAGACTGTGACTTAAACTTACCACAAACATTTCCCACACACCA